AAACAAAAAGGGTGTTGGGGTTTTTTTTGCACATACATGAATTTAAGAGTAGCAGGGCTGAAGCAAAGTTCTAATGCCCCCATTTTTTTCTCGTTTCCAAGGAATCACTACAGTTCTAACCATGACCACTCTCAGCATCAGCGCTCGCCATTCTCTGCCCAAGGTGTCCTATGCCACCGCCATGGATTGGTTCATAGCCGTGTGTTTTGCCTTTGTTTTCTCTGCACTCATTGAGTTTGCAGCTGTCAACTACTTCACCAACCTTCAGGCTCAGAGAGCCCTGAGGAAGGCAGCCAGGGCAGCAGCACTGGCAGCAGCACTATCGGCAGCCACTGTACCGGCAGAGGACGAGATTGTCTCGGTAATTGCTTGCTTTTCTCATCATAAGCATCATATAGGAAGAGGCAGCTGAAGTAGTGAATGCAAAACAATATTAAAGTGATCTTAACCTGAAACAGATTATGTAACCAGATCATGTCTGATTATCACAGACATTGTTCTTATACAAGAAAATGAAAAGTCTTAAGTTATTCATACTGTTTATTTAAATCTGAGATATGATTTACTAGAGATGTTTACTTGGTAAGATACTTAAGGAAAGTCATTAGACTGTTATCCATAATACCTCTCTTGAGCAATGCTGTAGGCAGTGTGTGTGGTCAGGCACGTGTGGTTCTCAGAAAGGCTGCAGAATTTGTGGGAGAGTGTACAATGGAAGGAGCCAGATGATTATGGGATCACTGTCATACACAGTACATACCATAAGTGGGTCATCTGGAAGATGGGTAATTAGCTTTTACATAAACTTGGCATCTGTTACTTCTCTAAAAATCTGTGTTGGTGGAAGCTTGGGGAAAAAAGCATAAATTAAGGATAGATTTTAGAACATGCGAAAGACAGGAAGTCTTTCTAGTATCAAAAAAAAGTATGTTAGAATTCCCTGGAAATATTATTCCTTACATCTCAGGCTAAGTAATGAATGCTGCTTCTCAACATATGTCAATATATTTATCACTATAGCCCTCCTGTTTCAAAATCAGTTTTACTACCACAACAATTTCCATTTTTAGAGGAATAACAGAATTGGAATGACCTTTTGCAAAACCTCTGAGTCTGTAATGAATAAGGAAGTCAATCTAAGAGATGCCCGTATCAGGACAACACCTTACTCACTATACAGTAATGTTTCCACATTTTCTTATAAACAGCAGTTAAAGTTATAACATTTAGGTACATTCAGACCATTGAACTCATAATTGATAAGTTCCATATAATAGCAAAACCAAAGCTCCACAGCATCTTGCTGCTGGTGCTCATTAGAACAAATGCTCTTCACTTCAACTGGGAAGCATTATGCTTGTGAGCCATGTTGTATTTTGCTTATAATGATATTAATATTGAAAAGAAATTAAGACATTATAAGCAATAAGAAAGAAATTAATTTTATTTTCATTAAATATAGAAACGCTAAAAGGAAAAAGAAAAATCTTTATATATTTTAATCAAAAATATTTCAAAATACTATGAAGCACCCTCCTTCCCCCTTCAGTCTAGTTAATTTTACTTAAAGTATTGCTTTATTTGAATTTACAAAATTTTTTCACACAGTAGTCAAAAAGTCTGTACACTCAGGAAAGAAAGATGTGAGAAGCCCAAATTCAGCTCTCCTGTACAATGGAAGCAGGAGCAGCTCTGGTGCTCCACTGTTTGGAGGAGGGACAGTGGTCTGGCTGAGACCATCCAAGTGCTCCGAGCCCAGCAGGCCTGGGCTGGCTCCAGGAAAGCCTCTCTGTTTACTCAGCTACCTGGGCCAGCATTTGGCTTGTTCTGCTGGTCAGCTGCAGGCCAGCCCTGTGTGAAACACAAACCTAGGGGTGTTCCACTGCACAGCTCCAGGGCAACAAGCTGAGGAGTCATCTGGACCCTGACACAACCCTGGGTTTGTTCATGTGGTGGCCAAGCTTGTTTTAGCTTGTCAAACCCAAAGGTGTTAGATATACACAGGTATAAAAACCATGATGACAGTTAGCTTTTTAATCCATTTCAAATGTAAATTTTCTGTATCAATCTTATTGTTTCACCATTATGGCTTTCTTTATGCAGGAAGATCCCAATCCTGGCAGTTGCAGGAGAAGGGAATTGGTGACACTTTCTGGAGTGCACCATTTGGAGTAATGCTTTGTGAGGTGGTCAGGGAATACACCCCAGGGATCAAAAGACATCCTTTCCATGTGAGAGACTACATTTAAAAGACAAAAGATTACCACCCTGTAATAGCTTGATTCCCAGTTATTTTCTGAAAGACCTCTTGTTTTAACAGAAAACAGCACAGAGCAGGGAACTCCCTCTGGGAGAGCTTCCTTCTCCCCACACCTTGTCCCTGTGCTTCCAAATAACACGGCTGGGGCACGAAAGGAGTCTCATTTTCTTTGAGAACCCTGGCCAACTGCAGAGCAGCCGTATGTCACTGGTGTAGAGGATCTAGAATTCCTTAATTACATCGGAATATATTGAATATGTTTAATGAGTGTTCTAGTATAACTGAAGGGAGAGAGCTTCTCTTTGGATTATCAAGCACCCTTTATGAGATCATCCTAGAAACAGCTACATGCATTAAAGTCTTGGCTGAGAACGTGGCATTTTCCATCAAATTAGGGAGACCTTCCTGCTCCTTCACCATTATCAGATCATCAGGTAGACTATTAAAAACAAACAGCAACTTCCAATTATATTGACTTTTTGTCATCCCAACAAAAAAAGTAGATGGTGATCATTTGGTTCTGCCTGAGATAAATATTGGTCTGATTGACAAAGCCAGTGCAGGGCAGTAAGGAAGATTTAGAAGTAGCTGATATCACACTCCAAAATAGGAAAAAAAAAAAAGATTAACTTGATTTCAACATTTTTTTTGTTCAACACTGAAGTCTAATCCTGGTACTTTTTTCCAGGGAAGCAGTGAGAACAAAATTAAGTAAGTTAAATTATGGAAAAAACCTCAAACAAACCTTTCTAGTGCTGTTTGTGTAATTCTGTCTCATTTAGACACTTGAAGTAGCTTCTCTATGCTGCAGACATTTTGCAAAGTAAAGGTAGAGACAGGGATTGTTTTGGACAGACACTGATAGATTTAAGAGCCAAATGTGACTCTGAACGTTTAAATCTGTTTAAAAGAAAAATATATTTTGACAGCAGAGGAGCTATGTACCAGTGATATGATTTTTCCAGGATGCTACAAATGAATGTTGGGAAGAGACTCTGCCACAGCACATCCCACTGCAAAGAGGGAGACGATTGCTCCAGTCTCTGCTGTCCTTCACGTGCACCTGCTTTATGGGACAGCAATTTTAATCCCATGGGCAGGGAATATTTTTCAAAGTCATGTTTTCTGCCTCTGCTTTGCATGGAAAACCCCTAGATTTTCCATGCAAAGTAATCCAATAAATTATAAAGAAAAGGAAAATAACACATTATTTTTATCTAAACGTTTAGAGTATATTTTACTGCATTGCTGCCAGGAAAAAGAGATGTGAGTGAGTAAAAGAGAGACAACTAAAGACATAGAAATATTAATTTGTTTAAATGTAGCCAGTATCTGAGTTGCATATTTAAGATACTGTTACTGTTAGATCATAAACTAAACTGATAGAGAGAATATGTATTTGCAGTACAAAGCAACAGAGAAGAGCTGAGAATTCTACAAATATGAATTACAGAAATCTCTTGAGGGAAAGAAACATAAGAACAAAGTGCATTCATAAATCACAGTTCCCATCCACATCAAAATCAGAGAAAGCAGACAAAGAATTCTGTTTACTCCTCGGTTATATATGCTGTATTTTTTGAAATCTGGAAGCCAAGAAATTTGCTGAAAGCCTCCTGAGATACTCTGAGAGTAAGCAAATTCTAGTGATATTGAGGAGAGTTTGAGAGAGCAGCATCTTTATGGACAAGATGGGACTGCTCTGTGGGCTTTGCAGGGGATGGGATTGCTTGGCTGCAAAAGCTTAATAGAAGGCAGAGTGTGCCTTACAGACACAGACATGCCAGGCTTTGTTAGTGCAGGGTTCTGGGATCACACCAAGCAAGGAACTGGGCTGGGTCACTGGGGGGGCAGAGACAGTGGCAGGTTTAATTGTGTGATGGGACCAACATTCCACAGGAGTGCCAAAGCACTGCTCTGCCTCAGGGTTCAGTGACCTCGGCAAACCCATGATTTCATTAGGACACAGTGTGCCACCCTTCAGGCTCCCTGGAACACACTCCTTACTTTCTGAGGGATTGGCTCTGGGAACTATGCAAAATAAGCTGCTCACTGCCATTTTCTCTGTGTTCTGTTGATGTTTCATGATGTTATTGTGGATAATCTTTGTCAAAAGGAGAAGTTAAATCTAAGTACAGTAGATAAATTACTGTAGCTGGTGTTCAGAACTCAACTGTAGTGAATTCCAATGAAATATATGAGTTGTGGTTCTGGGGCAGCAAGTCTGATCTACAGTCAGCTACCATACTGAGAAACATCTTCATTACATATGGGAGAGAAATTTGGACTTAGAATTCCATATCCTTCATAGTGGTACACAAGAAAATACACTTGACCCTGAGTTGCTGATTGGGAGCACAAGAGTGTTAAAGACAGTGTAAAGAACTACTTAGAGTTTTTCTTGAGATGGAATCACATTCAGGTAATCCTCCTTTTATAGCAATCCTCCTTCTATAAGAATGGGATTTAATAAATATAAATAAAATACCAACCAGGATTACACTTTTCCAAGTGCCTATTCAAATGATCACAAACATTTTACTACCTCCACATTCTAAATATGCTCAGTACTGAACATCATCCACAGACCATATGCTACATCTGTTCTATTTACTATTGACTCCAGCACTGGAGAACAACAATCACTGATTCGTGCTTGAATGATCCAGAGCAGAATTTGACCCACCTTATACCCCAATATTGAAGGACTAAGAGGGCTAAAATTCACCTTAATACTTACATTTTTTGGAACCACTTATTCTCCACAAAGGTCAAGTTATTCCCCAGTACAGGGAAAGCCAAGATACCTTCCAGCTTGCCCAGTTCAGCTCAGAGCAGGGCAGGCAGACAGAATGGACAGGCCTGCAGACAGACAGACAGAATGGACAGGGCCTGCAGGCAGACAGAATGGACAGGGCCTGCAAACAGACAGACAGAATGGACAGGGCCTGCAGACAGACAGGGCAGCAACTGGACTGGGAGCAGCCTGGCAGCTCAGTGTGTCTGTGTGAGAGAGGGATTATTGCTCTGATTAGTGCAAGTGGACATGGATAACCCTCTGTCTGTTCCTGTGACACATCTGGAGATCATCCCCCATTTAAATCGCTCTGTTTCTTGCTGTGTTACTGGAAAATACAAACCCAAACATCTGTGTTCCAGATAGGCACAGCCCCAGAGCAGGAATGCTGTTTAACACCATTCCAAACATGACAACAACCACAGAATGGATAGAGGGCAAGCTGGAAGTGGTGCTGGGTTGTAGGGAAGAAGAAGGGCAATAGGTAAGAGAGAGAAATACAGAAAAAGTACCTTTTTTTTTTTCAAATTAAATGTTGTTCTCTTTTTATTTAGACTAAAATCAGCTGTGAGGAATCCATCTCTCCCTAATTTTAGTTGGCTACCAGTCCATTCATCCATGAGCAGAGCTCATGTTGTAGCAATGTCCCTTGTTCTGATTCTCTGACAGTAACACTGACTGCTGAAAGGATAATTCCTGTTATAACTATATTTTAAATCATCCAGGGGACACCAGGTGTGTTAGGCTAGTCTGTTATCTAGAAATTGTGGCCCAAGTACAAGGGTAAGCAATGTATTTCAGAAAATGCTGCTTTTACCTTTAGTGACCCAGTCATTTACCTGATTGCCCAAAATCTGTTCCCATGCTTAGAAATCCTGCAAGATAAATCCCAGAAATGCTGACAGTGGAGTACATTTAAGTGAATGGTTGTCATTAAATCACCCCCAAAGAATGCCTTTGGACATTGCATATCTAACAGCACTTTTCTACCTTAAACCCATTCCAGTATTACCCTCCCAATTTACTAGAGATGTCTATGCTGTTACATTGCCAGTTATTTACGTTGGCTAAGACTTCCCTCACCTGCCTCAGTCATTTGGCCATCAAGTTCCGCTGACCAAAAAAGCTGCTTATCTAACCCAAGAATCTCTGTATGTTGTGTGATTTTTCGTCAGTAATCTGGGATGTGATTTTTTCCAATTCTTTATTGACAAAGATTCAGGCTCAAGCTAAACTAAAATAATAACTGTAAATAATAACTGTTAGAGCACCACAGCACCTCACCAAACAATAACTTAGAACACCACAGCACCTCACCAAACAATAACTTAGAACACCACAGCACCTCATCCAAACAATAAAAACCAACTCAACACTCTTGGCATTCTTCTGTATTTTCTCAACCATCAGATGAATGTTTGGATTTTCATAGGAGTTTTCTTACAGCTAAGAATAATTGGACCTGGCTATGAATATTGCACAAAATATGGGAGTCATTTGGTTTCATTTTACCATAAATGAAAATAAAAATTGCCCCATTACAGTTAAGTACATTTGTCTTCAGTCAAATGCATGGAAACGCTGTGGGAATCATGAGAGATATTTTAAAAGGAAATTTCATCCTAGAAAAAACAACACAACAATTTAACATTCATGTCTTCAGCACCTGTAAAGTTACTCCATTGCCTTTTGTGCAGCAATTTTGTAGCTCTTGTGTGACAGCTCGACTTCATTCAGTGAGTGTTTACTGAACTTATCCCTGGGTTCACACAGGAAGACTCTGCCTGAGCCAGCCATGTGTGTTATCTTGTTTAAACTTCATCCATATCTACATAAAATTCAGTCATACCAATATATTGCAACTTAGATGCATCATCACCTTCCTCTCCATTTAGCTCCATCTTTTCTTTTTCTCTCTTGTAGGTTCCATTTATTACCATGTTGAAAATATGAAAAGCACATATTCTGTCCTGTTTTTCCAGCAAAGCCTTAGGCCACAAACACATCTCTGTATATTTGCAGTATTTTTGTGATTTCCTTAGTTGCACTATAGCAGAGCAGCAATGATAAAATCAGAAAGTTGAGTAAAAAGATGGAAAGAAGCCTAATGATCACAAAACCTAAAACTGTATTCAAAAATCACCCTTTTTTTTCCTCTCCCCCCTTTCTTCTTTTCTTCCACAGCATTCTGACTCCAACTCTAACCTGAAGAAGCGAGTAAACTCTGTGACATCTCAGGCAGAGCAGTCTCCTGAACCCAGCATAATATCAAACACTGCATCCCAGTGTCAGGCAGTGTCTGTGCCTCCACCAGCCCCACCACAGCCACCAGCTATTGGAGGTGCCAGTAAAATAGACCAGTATTCCAGGATCCTCTTCCCAGTGGCATTTGCAGGATTCAACCTGGTCTACTGGGTTGTTTATCTTTCAAAAGACACCATGGAAGTGAGTAGTTAACTTTCTGAATACTTGTGTATAATATATGTTTGCTTGGCCAGTATGATTTCAGCTGTTCATGTACTCCTGTGACTCCAGGTGATCAATGAGCCCTGTCTGAGGACTCCCAGAAGGTTTGCTCTGACAAACCAGCCAGGCCTCCAGGGCCCTGGAGCAGGACAGTGTTGGCCTCAGCACAGCACAAGGGGCTGGCTGAGGAGGGGAAATGCAAACCCTTCTCTCAGCCACGTTGCACTGAGCACAACATGCTGTGTAAGACAATCTGTGATGTCATTCTGGCAAACAAATTGATCTTAAATCTTCTATTTCTTTACCTATGTGCAGTAAGGAATGGTAGAACTATCTTTTGAAGCAATGCAGTGAAGGAGATAAGAACTTTAATATCCCAAAGTTTTTCTCAGTGAGGTAGCACAGTAAGTCTCCCCAAAAAAGTTTCTTATTCATAGTATGAACGATTAATAACTGCAGTATAAAGTTTGTGAGTCAAGAATCCCTGGTTTTATACATTTAAATGTTGATTTTCCCTATTTTTTCATATAACTACACTGTTTTATGCAGATAAAGCTGTTAAATTCTTTGCTAAGTTTGTTTGAATCAGGTAGAGAGAGATATCCATGAGGTCCAGAAGAGATGTGTGCCCTGCAAATTGGCCATGTCTAGAATAATCAGTCAGTGATTAGTCATTAAGTCTTTAATGCTTTAAATCTCTAATTTTTCCCTTTTTGCCTAAACACAGTTAATGGTTTCCCATTTCCTTGGTAAAAAATACATTCATTTGCCTCGTTGCCATAGAGTTTTTGGATCTCCCTGTACATCGCAGTCAATATGATTGGTACATTTAGCTTTATTTAGGACAGCTAGAGAGATAATGAGGGTATTTAGATAGCACTGAATGCACAAAGTCCCCACATCAATCCAAACAGAGGCTGGAGAGCTGTGGGTGAGTGCTGGTGGGGCTGGACCTTCATCTCCTGGCTCAGAGGGAAAGCAGGATGAGGGGAATGTCCCAGACAGCCCAGAGGTGCTGCAGTTTAGGGGACCAAAGCAGGCTCAGGTGCCTGGGGCACGTTGGCTCTGCCTGAAGCAGAGGCTCCCAGCCCCTCATTCTGCTGATTGTTGCCCCAGTGTGGGCAGTGCTGTCTCTCAGGGATGGAGGTGCTGCCAAACAGCTTTGTGGAGTCAGGAGGGCAGGAAGGTGGGAGGCACTGCCTCTTCCAAACCCTCCTGCAGATGTCTCTCTCAAGAGGCCACAGCTGCCAACTCCTGGCCACTCCAAACATGGCCAGTGATAAACTGAGCATTTGTGCCAGAGTTACTGCTCCTGCTGTTAAAATGCTGCCTGTGTGTGCAAACTGCTGCTCTCGGGCAGAGCAGGGGAGGAGCGAGGAGCTCACATCCAACCTTCCTGCTGAGGGGTTGGTCCCTCAGCTTGCCCAGCTGCTCTCCAGGGATTCCATCCAGCCTTCACACTTTGCAGCAGGAAATATTTGGAGCACAGTTGCCATTTCCCCTGGTAGTGAGGAAATATTTACACTAAACCTCGTATATTAATAGTTACATTAGAACTAGCCTTTTAAAATACTTGAAAAGTCTATGAAAAAGTGCTGACTATAAATATTTTTTAAATGCTACTTTGCAAGCTTACAAATATGCTCAGAAATTATGTTCTGTAGTAGCATCGTAGAAACACAGAAATCCAGCAGCAACATTTAGAAAAGAGAGAAGTATTGACAGCTGGAGTGTTTGGAATGATGAAGAATGTAAACAATTATGTAAAATGTTGATCAAGCTCTTCTTCATAAATTACATTTTCCTGTTTATGTACTCATTTGTAACTAATAATGATTGTGATATACGCTGCTAGGTTTCTAAATCAATATGTTGTATCACTTCACCAGTTGTTACTTTCAAGGAAAACTAGGATTTTTTTTTGCCTTAAAAATATATTAAAAATAAGTAAGCCTTTCTAGTCAAGCAGAGGAGATAGAAAAGTTAGGTGAGCAAAACATGGCATGTTCAAGGGCAGTTCAACTTAATTTCTGGCTCCCTCAAGCCCAGTAGATTAAATATTGTTACAGTATTATTCAGTTTATTCAATTTAAAAAGCACATTTTGTGCGGTATTGCAAGTATATTGAATATATATCTGTATATCTATATAGATCTATATATCTTTGCTTTTTTCACTTTGAGCTCCTGTGCCTTTTGTTTAAAACAAAACAGGGAAAAATTCATTGAAATAACCAGTTCTTGTAGTGCAGCTTTCCAGGGTTTTGATTAGTTTAGAGAGCAGAACATTATTCACCAAAGTCTGTCATTGTGGAGATTCCCAAACCCAACAGCCAAACAGTGGCAAACAAGACACATTTGTCTAAATTAGCCAAATGAAAAGTTCTTGAAAGGAGAACAAACCTTTCTTATTTCTGAGAAATAAGAAGTTGTTCTAGATTTTTATTTTGTCATACAGTATATTTTGGCTTTGCTCTTTTGTTTTAAACCTTGCTCAATCCTTCAGCTGAATACTAATTTATGATGGTGACCTTGGTAGGTGAATTGCACACTTAGTTTATTCTAAAATTGGCTTGATTTAGGATGCAAAGAGTCCCCTTTTAAAGAGAAGACTATAAGTACTTCTCTGCCATTCACAATGCATATGATGTTTTCACATCATCTTACACATCATATTTCTAAATCTATCTCAATTTTTATATGTAACATTATATTACACTTTTTCATGTAATAAAACTCGGAATGATGGAGTGAATGACACTAAAGAGGGAGATGATCTTAAACTTTTGATGATAAACTGCAGAAAAACAAGCAGAGGTCAGCTTTTGGTTTGGCAGCAGAGGAAGATACAAACTCACTAACTGGGCTAAATGTGCTGAGTCCTGGGTGTTATTTGGACACAGAGAACTCAGAACGATGGCAGGGAGAGAGTTGATGGCAGGGAGAGAGTTACGTGAGGAGCTGAGGGAGATGAGATGCAAATGATGTCAGGTGGGAGGAAAAAAACAGAGAAAGAAACAAGAACTGGAGCAGTATTTGACTCTGGTATGTTGTTATCCACAAAGCTGGCAGGATGTGGTGTTATATCATGTTTCAATTTAAACACTTGAAAAATAAAGTTTGGGGAAACAGCCATTTCCACACACACTGAACTGAGCTTTGATGATCCAGGTAACAACATCAGATTCCAAGAGGATTCTCCCTGGTAATGCAGTTCTGGTTTAATTCTGCTGTGAGTCAGAAATCACACGGGTTGGTTGCTTTGCTCAGTTTTTGTTAACAGTTGGTAACAACCCATAATTAACCTTCTCTCTAAACTTGTCTTGCAGTTTTTTGAACCCTCTGCAATGCATTTCCGAAATGACCCTCAGGCCAACTGAAGAACAACTCAAGAGTTCAAGGAAATCACTCGAGGTCTCAGAGACTTCAGAAGATTTGTCTGTCTGTCCACAGGTGCTCTCCCTTTTCAAACAGGGAATATTTATATTGGACATCACCTGGATGCAAACTCTGGACAAATCAAGAGCTGCAAATGTCTTAGGGCTCCAACAATACTTTCTTAAGATTTCTTACAGTGATTCTACTGCAGAAGTTCTTCTTAAATTATTTTGTTTGATTGTCAAAGGAAAGAACGTGCATTTGTTCTAAAACTGTTGCAAACAGTTGAACATTTACATCGATATAAAATATCAATAAAAGGATTTGTTGGGTTGGGTTTTTTTATATAGAATAAGGATTGCTAAAAGGAGCCTGATTCTGAAATGGTTGGGAGTTGCACTGATTTCCATCACTTGACATTGACCCAAAATACTGTTGGAAAGAAATCCTATGAAAAGGAGCTGCAGTTCCATAATGTTTTAATCCTTTTATATGAAAGATCAATGATTATTTATTTTTATTTCATTTTAATCTTTAATTTGAGATCATATTTGTAAAGAATGAGATCTAAGAAAAAAAGGAAACCTAAGGTATTTTTTGTGTGCTTCAGCTGCCATGGGGTGACTGTTCTGTTGGGAGTGACCACGGCAGCACAACCAGACTCACAACAAGCAATTGCTCAGCAGGAGCTGGAGATGCAGGACTGAGATGTCAGGGAGCTTTCAAGGTCTGAAGCTGAATAGACAGAAAGATGCAGCTCCCCCTGAAGCTGAATGCAGCCTCCAGCTCCAGGGAACTGCCTGGAAGCAGCTCTGGATAGCTGGTTAAGGGACAAGCTGCATTTTATCAGCTGATTCTACTGAATTGCCTGTAACAAACTCCCTAGAAATTTTTTCCAGAGCCAGTGTCAGCATATTCAGAGTTGAAGGTAATAATATTTTGTCATTCTCAACACAAACAGCCACAGAATTTCTTCATTCACCCTTCATCTCCATAATCCCTCCTTAAATGTGATCAGGAAACCTATGCCTAATCCACTCAATCCCAAACCAGTTTTATTGCAGGTGTAATGGTCATTGGTAGGAGTCAGAAGCACACAAAGAAGTTTTAGATGCAGCCAAATAAAAATTAAGGATTCTGTCCTATTTTGAAATTAATTTTAGTAAAATAAAATAATAAAATGACACATGGATTCAGGATATTCAGGGTCTTCTGTTTTGTCTAAAAAAGCATCTTAATCCCTGTGAAAAAATATTCACAGGCTGACCAATGAAGTGCAGTAAGTCCTGGGCCTTTACTGGCCCTGTCCCAGTGGTAGCTGTGTGATGGCCCAGCTCCAGTTGTTTTCCTCCCCCTGTTTCCAGAGGAGTCAGAGCTTTTCCCAGGGTGGGAGCTGGACTGACCACGGGCCATCACTCTTTGTCCTCCTGTTCTCTGACACTGAGGGGCTCAGATGGGACAATTTAGGGATTCAAGTCAACAATAAACATCTCAGATGTGCCATGGCTGCAGTTTCTGTCCCTGAATGGCTGCAGGCTGGCACACTGGGATGGATTTGTAAGAGTGCTGAAGTGTTCCTTCATTTTGCTTTGAAACTAAAATTGTGACAATTTTTCCTATTTTCAGCCTTTATTTACTATTTTAAGAAAAAAATGAAACTATGGATATTGGACAAGTATTTTATAATTTGTAAATACATCTGATTTGAAAAAAAAAGCAAATCGTGCTGTATGGACCCAGAAGTAATTTTTTTGGGTGACTATACTCATTCTTGCTTCACAGATTAACTTTTATTTTGAATACATTAATTTCTGTAAGGGTTTTCTAAGTATTTTAAAACTGGTTTGTGCACAAAATGAAAATGTTTAAAAGCTGTAGTAAAACAAGTGACACTAAGGAGCTAAACTTTGTATTTGCTCTTTGCCTAAAAGAAAATTAAATATGAATTTTACAGGAGATGCAGAGAGTTACTAAATAGTCACTATTTCCTTGGAGTGTAGTATTTCAATGTGTAAAATGTTGTAATGTCCTGATTAGGAAGTTGTATCAGCACCTTAAAAATGTACTGGTAGCACTTGGTTTTAACAACACATTTCAACATGAGCACAAAGGCTACTTATCTTTTTTTTCCAAAGAGCTTCTCCTGTGGATAAGACAGACAAGGGTTGGTTCTCCACAGCTGTTTGAATGGTAGGAAGGGAATGTATCTTTTTCTATTCCATGCTTTGTAGAGACACGGGTGTAAACAACACTGTTAATAATGTGAAGTTATATCTTTGAATAAATGTAATTACTTACAACTAATGTCAGTTCTTAAAAATCCTGGTTATGGTCAAACACTAACCAACCAAGCACGACTGTAAAAGAGCAGATAAATAGAAAAAGGTCTTATGTATAGGTTTATATATATATGTGTGTATATATTTTATGTATGCATATATACATATGTATTTCTGTAGAAAATATAAATAAATAATAATAATAATTATATTTCTTTATTTAGTACAAATTTAAAGGGGATATGAGTTTCTTCCAAATATTTTTGACTGTACTGAAATAGGAAGAGCAGGAGCTAAAGTTGATATAAGATGGGAATTTCTCTATGAAAAACAGACTCTGAGGGAAGATGGGCCATTCCCTTGAGCGATTGCACTCTGGTAATACATTATTCAACACAGACCTAACTTTAGATGTATCCTGGCAGAAAGGATTTTCTGGTTTTAGCCCACCCACCCCACAAAGTGTAGCTTTTGTGGTGTGGAAGGACAGGGAGCCTTCTAATTCCTTCACATCAGTGGAACTGCAGAAATGGAATAATATTGGAGTGCAGTCCAAGCACATGCTGCTAAAAGTACTTTCACTGCCATGTCATTGCTCATGAAAGCCAAAATGTCACATGAAAATGAACACCACCAAGGTCGGTAAGCAGAGAGCACCAAGTCAGCACAACTCTGCCTGACATTGTTTCCAAGGAAAAAACATTTCATTCTGGAGACAGTAAAAAGTTTTCTCAGAAATTGTCAGGGAACAGTTTTCCTCTGTCAGTTCTCATATTATTCTGCTACATTTCTGGGCAGTTTAATGAAAACTTGATAGGTTAGGTCAATCTGTGGCCACCAGCAGTGACACCACAGATGTGTCACTCCCACTCCAGCTATTATTAATACAAATGCCTTCCTTAGAGAGAATGCAGGTCCTTCTGTCCAGGAGGAATTCCCAGTCAGTTTTTACTCCTGTGAAGTGCAGCCTGTCCCATGCCAGGGCTCAGTTCCTATCTGTATGAAAGGACTGCTCAAAGGCTGCTGGATGAATTCTCTGGTAGGGAAAAGGAAAAAAAAAGGGGGGGGGCTGTGGATCAGACACAGCAAAAGTGGTTCTTGTGCTAGAAATTTTTAATGTAGAACTGGACAACAGTTCCTGCTGGAAATTTGAAGACGGAACAAAGCAAATCGACAGCACTTGACTCCCAACCCCATCCCTGCCTTCCAGAGCCAGTGACCACTGCCATGCAGAAATGCTTGTGGCCTCCAAAGGGCCACCCCAGACACTGCCAAGGTACAACACACAGCCAAGGCTGGCAAGAGACTTTTGAAAAGGGCACAAACTGAGCAAACCAAGTGCTGTGGCCGTGCCAGCAGTGCAATCTGGTCAGTCCATGGGTAAAAGGAGGCTCTGCAGATGATCAGGCCCAACAGTAGGGAATTGTGACCTAATTTCAGACAATGGTTACAGCCTTAGACAGCCAAAGGTCTGTTCCAGACACTCCCTGGAAGGGAGTAAAGGCCTCCTTGTTGGTGAGGAGCTGCTGCTGGCTGGGACAGCTCTGCAGCCTCTCAGAACTGAAATCCTACAGCCTCAGCTATTCCAGTCATCAAATTACCTTCTGAGTCTGCCTAAAAGTTTCTTTTTGTCTTAGAAGGTGTCCAGGAATGTTCCAGTCCTGTGAAACCACCTGGTTCACAGATTCTTTGGTTACTGAAGTTCACAGCACTTGGTTTTGGTTCGTTTTCTAATTCATTTCAATAAAAGTGATGAAAAGAACAGCAAACCCCACTGGTCACTCCTGGAGGTCTGTGGGACACATTGCTGGGCTCTGTGACAAGGCTGAGCCATCCCCTGCTCTCCTCCAGCCCAGGCCATGGCAGCCTCAGCATTCCTGCCATTTCTCTTTGCTCCAGTTCCCACAATCTCATTCTCCTCATTTCAAACAGCACTCAAGAATTTTCCTCCAAAATATGAAGATATTTTCTTTCCTAATGCCAAACCTCCAAACTTGTTCTTACAATCACTTCATCTATTTTTTCCCATTATGAACCCTTTCTCCCCATCGCTGAGTAACACAAATCACTGCTTTCTGACATTTTTGTCAACTGCTGAATACATTATTCATGAGTACTTATTTATCACTGCTGAACCAGCTCTAGAAATAGTGAAACAATGTGCACTAAGTAGTTTTAGTGTGCCTTTTATTTTTATAAACCAAAATAATTGGGGAGTGTATTACTTTTTCACTCCAATATGCTCTGTTCATTTTAGGGACAGTGTACTCTTGTTAGATTTTCATCAGTGCATTCTCACAGGGAGGCTGGAAGACTGGCACATCTCCTGATGGCTCTTTGGAAGACAGAAAGAAAGTATTCCAGAATATGATGCCCTGTAGCTGAGGGCAGGCAAGTGATCCCCCTGTACCTAAATCCCATGGTCCTTTTTGGGCACACAGATCAGGCAAACCATTATTTTACTCTAAGTGCTGCAGACACAGTTTTGCAAAACCATGATAGTACATAACACCAGGATAAGCCAAGTTAACAGCAATTACTTTGAGATCTCAAACAGGCCCTTCATTACCTTACTGCTAATTTAATACCAATTCACAGCCCAGGCTATTAACGTGGTTTAAATAGTATGCATTTGTCACATAAACAGTGCTTTATGCCCACCTTAGAATGCAAGGCTTAAGAAAAGACAGCTTATCTCTTTGGTATTATTTAAATATAGCACTATTTTTCTTGGGCAAAGTGACTTGAGCCCTTAACTTTTTATGGCACATAGAATATGGAAAATATTAGCATCATCTATTTAATCTCTATCACAATCTCAGCTGCTAAAACATGCATTATCTGCTCTACAAACTGTATAATATAGCACCTCTGATACTGCCAAGGAGCACCTGAGCACCATCCATCCTCAGTTTTCATATTCTTACAGTCCTTACCTTTCCCTCATAGCAAATTGTAAATAGGAGAGGGGCTACTTAAAAGAGGATAACAAGTAGAGATATTTCAAGTTCTCATAAAATAGGACGAGGCCATTATGGATCCCAAAATTCTAAACAAGTGCCAATCCAGTGCATATCAATTCACAGGAAAAAAGTCTGTGAAAGTCACTTCATGACCAGGTCCAAATACAGACATTTATAGTAAATCAATATTAATTCACTATTGCATAACCTTGTACAAGTCTCTGATCAAGTTGGTGTCACTTTGTTTACAAATATTGTACAAATGGCTCAAAGGTACTTCTCCTTAACAGTTTCTTCAAGAGTTCCTTTCTACCTTTTCACTTTTAAATGTTTTGATTAAAATGCTTATGATGTCCCTGTAATTTGTTGTACCTTTATTTCCCTCACAGACACAGGTATGTCCAGCTGGTGGTTCAGTGGCTGCAGTGAAGCACCTGGAATATGTGGTTTATTGACTGCAGTGCCAGTCCTTTGCTGGAACCCAGACAGTCCTTCTGCAACAAGAGTTGCTGCACTTAAACAACAGCCTGATGCCAGAGCTGTTTGCTGTACTGGATGTGCCAGGTGAATGCACAGATTAATTAATCCTGTGACAAAGTAATTATGCAGAAAATGTAGTATTTAAAGGAGATGCTTCCAGTCAGAACAGTAGCACAGGCAAATATGCTGAGAAGCCTCTAAAACATCTCATCACACAACAGATGGATTAACAATTGCAATTAAACTCCAGTAGTACTTATCTAAATATTATCTCTGTGAAAAGTGTAGACTAATCTGTGGTAAGCAGGTAGAGGAGAAGAGAGCTGGGAGGTGCTTTTCAAAAAAAGAGCAAACATTTCAATGTCAAATCTTTTACTGAAAAAAACAACTACCCAATTGCTTACAAGATTGTCAGAAACGTATTTGTAAATTTTAAATATAGCAGGGCTATCCAGTTTTATTCCTGTGATGGCAATTTATATCATGCAGGATATAAAAGCATATTCAAGTGCCTCATGGAGCACTGAGGAGTCAAAAGTTCAGCACTAAGGTACCATCTGATCTTCAGTCTAGTTCGGCTCCCAGTCTGTCATCAAATCAACTGAGATAAACTGGGTCTGAATAACACCCATTAACTTCACTTGGTCTCTTTATGGGCAGTATTTTCTCAGTGGAAATATTCAGAGAAACTTCAAACTGGAGCTGTCATTTTGTGTTGCTCAGAACAAAGTGTCACTTCAGAAAGAGCCTTGGGTGACTGGCTGGCTGCAAATGTCACTTTGAGGAAGGTCTGAGGAAACATTTCTTTAAACATCTTTTTATATCTTGTTTTGATCTACATGACATCCATTTTCCACATTTGTTAACCCAACTGCTTGATATTTTAGGTGTATTTTTTATTGACAGTTGATCAGCACTTTTTAAGTTGAACAACTTAACCTGGTTACAGTATTAGCAGCATGACAACTTAGACCTGGAGTTCATTACAAGCAAAAACAGTTCTGGCAAGGAAACCTGCCCAATTTAACAACCAGGAAGTTTCTTTTCCTTCTAAACTTGTTAAATTGCTATATAGTCTTTGTGATGGGACCCTTTTTAAATGTAAGGATAATTATAGTCAAGTCACTTGAATTGCAAAACCTATCATAAACACCTTTGTTTTTCCTGCTTCTGTTTAGGTGCACCTAAAACCTCTCTCCTGTGCTAACAAACTGGCAGCAAATCCATTTTCTGCAGCCATCATCTTCTGCCTTCTACTTCTGTACCTTTAAGCACAAGAGACATTTCATTCCCAGTTTGGGAACACGAGGACAGTGAAAATAGAGTATTTTCACATTAATTCATGAAGTCACACTTGAGTATAACAGGGGAGACAGAAGAGGAGGAGGGTATCATGATACATAAAAAAATCAAAAAAACCAAAACCAACAAAACCCCAAACCCAGCAAAACCAAACAGGCCAAGTTCCTATAAGTCTGATCAATAGCACTGAAGAATAACCTCTTATTTTACCATCTCCCAGAATGTTCTGTGTGGTGACATTCCCACCATGGCAGGGATGGAGCAGACCATGACAATCCCACACTAATGTGGGATCCCCTTGGAAGGACTGTTCTGCTACTTGGAATGAGACAC